AGTATATTTTCTTTTACCTTCTCAATGTCTTTCTGATATTGGACTGCAAATTCACTAGTCCCTATAGGAAGCTTATGCACTTGATCCGGGTTCAACCGGTCAATGGGTCTGCGTGGACGCCATCCCAGATGTAACTCCATAGGAGTCTTACATGTAGATAGATGTACAGAGTTATTATAGGCACTGGCAACTTTAGGCAGATGTTCATCCCAGTCAATCTGATCGGGACGGATGCACATGCGTAAAGTTTGCTGCAAAATCTTGTTCATCTGCTCAGTCTGGCCATTAGTCTCAGGATGTCTGCCTGATGACATAGTCAACTTAGAGCCATAAACATTCATTAGTTGTTGCCATTGTTCACTCGTGAACCTGGTATCTCTGTCACTCAGAATAGTTAAGGGATGTCCAAAGTCTTTTACCCAATGGTTAAAGAATTCCCGAATTACTAATTCAGTCTTTGCTTTCGCAGGCAGAGCTACAAAAACAGCATACTTAGTGAATCTATCCACTATGACCATTACTTGTGTTTTCTCATTCCTACTTTTGATCTTAGTATCCATGAAATCTATAGAAACAGAGTCTCCAGGGCCGGTAGGGATAGGCAAGGGCTTAAGTAGCCCGAGGGGCGATTGCGTGGTGCTTTCGTTTCGTTGGCACACTTGGCAACCCTGCACATACGCGATACAGTCCGCTTTCATTCGAGGCCAGGTGTAGGACCGTAACAAGGTCCCATAGGTCTTCTTCCACCCGAAATGACCTTCTGTATCATGGCATTCCCCCAAGATCGTACTTTTGATCTCTTCATTATTGGGTATACACAGCCTATCATGCACATCAGTTCGTTCAAACAACAGACCCTGAGTCACTTTATGATCGGGAAACTCTGCTGGCCTTTCTTGCACTTGCTTAATCATGGCTCCATAAACAGGATCAGAGGAATACGCATTTCTAATCTTTTCTTGTAGGTCTGCACCTACACCTAGATAAGTCACGATAGCACCGAAAAAGTCTGATCTACAACTTAGTGCATCATCAACAACGTTATACTTGCCCTTTACTGGCTTTAGCTCAAAGTCAAACATATCAATTTCTGCAGCCCACCTTGTTAACTTAGGTGTCATTCGAGCTTGCGTTTTGAACCAGCAAAGTGTTTCATGGTCAGAGTATACTTTAAAATGCCTTCCTAGAAGGTAGTGTCGCCAATGATTGAGAGCCTCACGCAAAGCATACAACTCTCGTTCATACGTTGAAGCGGCCACCTTCTCGTTAGGTAAGCGGCAAGACATAAACTCTACAGGTCTGTACCCATGCCCATCATCTTGCTGGAGTACAGCACCTATACCATATTGACTAGCGTCGGTCGTGACCACAAAAGGTAATGAAGGGTCTGCTACTTTCAGAACCGGATAATTGATCAAACACTTCTTCAGACGCTTGAAAGAAATAGTGCAGTCTGAATCCCACTTCCAAATTACTTCTTTCTTACGAAGGGGAGCAGCTATTATCGTAAAGTGTCTTACGAACTTTCGTTAGTAGTTGGCTAACCCAAGGAATGACCGCAACTCAGTCAAGGTGCGGGGGTTCGGCCAATCTCTGATTGTTACTATCTTTGCATCTTTCGGTTTAACCCCATCTCCATCAATCACATGTCCCAGGTATAGAACCTGACGCTTAGCCCATTTACACTTCTTTGGGTTTATCTTGAGTTTTGCTTCTCTCAATTTATTTAGCACAAGTCGAAGGTGCTCAACATGCTCCTTTTCATTTTTGCTGAAAATCAAAATATCGTCTAAATAAATCACAACAAATTTATCGAGCCATTTACGAAAGAGTTCGTTCATCGTTCTTTGGAAAATGGCAGGGGCATTTGTGAGACCAAAGGGCAAAACTACGAACTCATAATGCCCATACCTTGTCCTGAAGGCATTCTTATGTTGGTCTTCCGGCTCAACTTCAATCTGATGGTAGCCGGATTTTAGATCAATCTTTGAGAACACGTTGCTTCCCTGCACGCGATCCAGCAAATCGTCTATTCACGGCAATGGTTCGGCATTTTTCACGGTTATATCGTTTAACCTCCTATAATCTATACACACGCGAATGCCGCCGTCCTTTTTAGGCACAAAGAGCACAGGCGCACCATGGGGTGAGGAGCTAGGTCTTATCCAACCATTTTTCAACAACTCATCGAGTTGGGTTCGCAGTTCATCCAATTCCTGGGGCGACATACGATAGATAGGCCCCTTCGCGGGCGCGCTCCCTGGAATGATATCAATGCGGTGGCGGATTGGTCTTTCCACCACACCGCTTGAGGCTTCAGCCACATCTGCGAACTCTTTCAGGATCCTCTCGATCTCTTGGGACCTGACTTCTTCTTTTGTTTCTCCTTCCTTTACTGGGCGCACATATGCAACAAAGACTTGGTCATACAAGTTATGTTTCTTAACATGGCGAGCGAATGCTAGGGCACTCATACAACAGTGAGCTAGGCTGCTTTCTTTTCCTGATTCATGGTAGAGGCGAATCTTTTTCTTACCTCCTCGCGGACTTGGAAGCCAACATTCATGTTCCCTTAACTTTAGGTCCGCATGTGCAGCCTCACCCCAATCCATTCCTAACAACACATCAAAGGGCAAGTTATCCTCCACCAAGAAGGTCAGAGAGTGGAGAACGCGTTCCACCTTCCCCTCTGCCTCTAGCCGAAAGTATACTTGTACTCCCTCGACGTATCAATCCATGACAGTTTCACTACTATTCGCCAACTTACTTACAATGGGCTCACCTAACTTTTTAACCTTAAGCCCAAGACGCAGTTTCTGCAAACCTCTTTTACTAACATAACTGCGTGTAGACCCGCTGTCTATCATACCTCATACTCTAACTCCATTTATTTCTAGATCTGCAATTATTAGCTGTCCTTTCTTTTTACGCATTTCAGTCCAGGCTTGGCGACAAGCGACCAACTCATCACCCACGCCAGCGAGGGATCCATCTAGAGAGGTGCATACGTGTGCCACCTCTGGACAGTGTACTAGATGGGGACTTCCTTCCTCTTCAGTTTCTGCCAATGGAGCCTTCAAATGGGAGGATTCTGGTTTTTCAACATTCGAAGCTCCGGTAGAGGCAACTGGCACCTCTACTGGCTGTTCCCTTTTGCCCCCCTATAGTCAGGGCAATAGGGGACAATGTGGTCGGGGTCCCCACATTTGAGGCA